CAGGACACTAGGGTCCAGTCGTAGGAGACGATCTCGTACCTCTGGGTCCTCGAAGAGCGCCCGTATGTTGAGCCTGAGGGGGTCTGGTGTTGGGGCCTCGTACACGAACAGGGAGTCCAGGAGGTCGTTTTCTTCAGATCGACGCAGAAGACGGATGACATCGACTGCGAAGCGCCATGCATATGGATTGGCAGACTCGGCCAGCGTGCCGTCTGCCGTGAGAGTCGGACACGCCTCCACAGGCAGTTGCCCAAATACTGCGGCGACCTCCTGTGCATGCCGCTCGGGAAACAGAATCCACCGACGATGCATCCGAAGTCGGCGAACTCGCAGCTCGGTGCCGCATGGTGCGATGCCGACGCGACGAAAGACGCACTCGTCCGAGACAGCCTTGTACTGTAACTGAGGGCTGCCGTGGGGCGCCAGCAGCGGGGTGCCCAGAGCCGCATCGAGAACTGGGATCTTCTTGCAGGCGTCACCCCCGAGAATCTCACGCGCAAAGCCCGCGAGAACCTTATCAAGAGCTCTCTCCTGCGTCGTCGTTAATATCTGCGTCGTCAAGCCCGAAAGAAGACCACCCTGGACCACCGCCCCAAAGACTGCACGAGTAAATTTCCAGACACGATTGCGAGCCCAGAACCGCCCCATAGAATAGTACCCTCGTCGACACGCGAGAATCCTCCTCCTGATCCCCACCTGAGTCCCACCGTTTACTGCACTCGAAATCCCCAAAGTAATACTGTCGAAAACCACCTTGCCTGTTACTGGAACTTCCCCTGTAAACATGGCCCTGGAGTAGACTTGGGAGCCAGCTCCTACAAAAGACGGCGACACCTGGCTCTTGTCCGCGTTGTGTTCGTACCCTCCTTCCTCCGTTAGGGCCTCTCTGAGCCTTTGGTGTGAGATGTCCAGCACGTGCTGGGCGTTCAGTGCAGAGGCCACCACGTGGGTAGCGCTAGTGTCGTCAGCGTAGATCCGACAAGCCAGCGGCACAGGGCGATGGATGAACGGCGCCCACGCTGCACAGAGATCCTCGGACGGCCATACAAAGTCATCAGCGCGAGCGGGAGGATGAGGCGGGGCCAGCGGGTGACTGATCCATTCGTCGCACGTCGTAGGGCGAGATGGAGGAGAAAGCTGACACCAAGAATGCTGTCGCAGAGGGTCCAACCACATCTGCACTGGGCGGCGGAAGGTGCGGGCAAAAAAAGACTGCCGCTGGGGTATCCCCCATGAACGCTCCGCACCTGTTACGCAGTACTTGCTCGCCGTCCGATGCAGGTATCATGAACGTACTGAGATGATGCCTCTGCGCGAAAATGACTTGAGACTCCTCTTTGATCGACGCCTCGACTGTACGCTGAAGGGCCTCGAACGACGTGCACCCGAACGCATTAGACATATCCTCTTTGGAAGCGACCGAAGAGATGCCCAAACGACGAAGGCGCCAATGGAGGGCCTCTTGACATGTAATAGCCCCTTCCCTGTTGCGCCCTGGGAGATACCCGTGTTCTCTATCGGGGACCTGGCCTGAGGGGCCCTCCTGCAGTTGGGCCTTGTACCACAGAACTCCGAGACGACATAACCCGTGCACATATCGTTTCGCACTGAACCCGAGCTCACCGTTCATTTTACTAAGACCAGTGGCCCGAGAGTGATGCCACACCAGCGGGGTCCGTCGGACCCGTCGCATGCGATGAAAGATGCGCTGGAGGCCTCGGAGGGCGCCCTCGTTGGAGATCTCCGCGGGGACAGAACCAAGACCACGCCGATCGCGCCCAAGACGGTGCCGTGGATGGGGCCCGCTCAGGGCCATCAGGAGCGTCGTCGTCAGCATCGTTCTGGCGTCGTCGATGGGAGCCGTCAAACCTCCTCGCGGGGTCGGCCGCGAGCATCAAGTTCTCTGTCGGTGCACTATGCAGGGGCGCCGCCTTCCGTCTGGGAGCGCGCTCAAGTAAACCGACAACGCGGGCGAGATCCTCTCGCCCTTGCTCAGCCGCGAGGTAGTTGTCAGCGGAGACTGGGGGCGGAGCGGGGAGATCCTGGAGCTGCTCGTCCCGAAAGGCGGCGAAGCTATCCACAGGGAGAGCGCGAAACCCGCCAGCGGGTCCATCACGCGCGAAATACTCACGCACCTCCTCGGCCCTGGGGACAAACTCGGTGGAGCCACCATACCGACGTTTACGTGGTCCTCGACGCTGTCCCGCCAGAAGGTGGGCCAATCTCCAGACCTCGGCGTGTCGTTGTTCTTTCCAGGCCTCACGGCTTTCGGTCACGAGCTGCTCTGAGACTGCATGAAGTCGGGCCCTCCGAAGCTGACGAAGGTGTCACGAAATTCTGGAGAGGGCCATCGCCGTCGGCACGTCGTCGTCCCCGATGGATCGCTGATGCCTTCTGAGAGCAAGCAACCTCCTCCGTTCTGCCGCGTATCGTTGAGCCTGAGGGTATTTTGTCGAGGCCTTCCCGAAATGCCGTTCTCCTACCTGATACACCGTCGTGATCCATCGCTGCCAGGCGTCGTCGGGTGCCGTCGCCGTCTCCAGAACATCTTGCCAGTCAGACTGCCCCGCAAAAGCCTCCTCTAGGTCTCTCATGAAGCCCGAGACACCAGTGCCATGCCGTAAAGCTTGTGCAAGCGCATCGTAATCCCAACGGGCTCCCTCAGGTCTGGACCACGACATATCGAAGCTGTGTGAAGTGGACAACGGTATGGGAATATGATCCTGAAGCCCTCTCTTAGCGATCAGCATCCAGCGACGATTCGAACGACGTAGGCCACGACAGTCGCGAATGAGAGACCTCTGCCACTGAAAAACTGCAACATGATCAATCGAACTCGAACCTCGGTGTCCGAAGAAAGTATCTCCCACGGGAAAGTCCATCGAGGGGAAACATATGCCGTGCTTCTCACAGAGCTCCTGAACACGATCCCCTGCGTAGCGTTGCTCGCCTCTGCCATGCGCACCGAAGACCTCGGAATCGATGGGGACTACCAAGAGGGCCTGGCTGACGTCGTTGCCCAAGGGAGTCATTGAGATCCATACCCCACAACAACGTGGAACGCGCCCGAGCCCAAGTGAAACTTTACTCCAACCATGTGCACATGGAGTCGACCGTGCTGCGGTACTTCCTGAACGGGCTCTCGACGGATTCTCTGCCTTCTCGTCGTTGCGATGGGCGGGGAGGGAAGTAGGTTAGCGGCACCAACACGTCGAATCGGCCCGAGCGGATCCTGCGGAGGGCGACACGCCCTGGAAGATGTCGAGGCGGAGGAGGGGAGTCAACCACGTGCTTCTCTCGAAACTTTTGTCGACGGAGAAGGAGCGCCAATCCGCATACCTTATTTACATGTCGTCCAGGCACAAATCCATGACGAATTGCGAAGTGATGAGGCAACTGACAGACGGTGCTCAACTGTTCTCCTGCTCGTTCTCCTGTGCCAGAAAGAGCGATGATATCTACATTGCGAAGCTCCTCGGATATATCACAAAGTCGAGTCGCATCCGCGGCCATGCAGTTCCAGCGCGCGAATGTGATGCGATCGATCCCGCCACTCGACATGACAAGATAGAGAAGCACCGTGCACAGCTTACGCAAGAAAGCACAAGACGAGAACATGCATGACTGCACGACTGCCGTGGGGGGGCAGCCCTGGCGCGAGTGCGGTAAGCAGGTGTGCTGGAGTTCCTGGCCCCCAGCGCTGGCACCTGAGCGCGCGGGGGGCTAGGAGGAGGAGGAGGAGGAGGAGGAGGAGGAGGAGGAGGAGGAGGAGGGAGGAGGAGGTGCAGGTGGAACGTCGTGCCCCGACCATGTCCTACCATGTCCAAGTCCTCCTCCTGCAGGGGAGAGGCGTGCCCAACGTTGCGCTCCCGGGGCGGCCCGAGGGGCCCCGAGGGGCCCCGACAGGAGGGCGGAGGCACGGCGAGGAGCGCACGGGGACCCCCGGGCCTCCGGGGGTGCCCCCTCCTCCAGGGCGCGGGGGAGGCAGGAGGGAGGGGGGAGGCAGGAGGGAGGGAGGGTGGGGGGGAGCCTCCTCCTCCTCCGCCTCCTACCTCCTCCTCTCTCCTCTCCTGCTCCTGCTCCTGTGTCTCCTTCCTCCTCCTCCTTTTCCTCTCCTCTCCTCCTCCCTCCTCTCCTCCTCCTCCTCCTCCTGCACTCCTCCCTCCTACTCCTCCCTCCTCCCTACCTCCCTCTCCCTCC